ATATCCGTTCGTTCCTTCATTATATGTATGTATGTACGTTTATAAATATATATACAAGTACATACATATGTACTTCTAACTATACATATGTAAGCATTACATTCTAAATACTAATAACTAAGCTAGTTTGCTGTTCCAAAATTACAATGGCAGCAGCAGTCATAGCCCTGATTTTAAGCCCAATTGTAGAGATCTCTTTGGTTCACTTTTTCCTCCACTAGCATACACTTTATTCAAATATCAGTATCAAAACTGTGAGAAACACAACCTTAATGGCCGTTGTTATAACCTATCCATGGTTGTGGGAAATGATGTGCCTATTTAATAGTAGTTGGTCAATTTGCATGCGTGCAAAAGGTCTGCCCATAATTCATTTCCTAATAGTGAGAAAATTAACGAATTAGTACATTCATTTCCTCAGATTTATTTTGGTATCTTGCGGTTGCTTAAAGCGCTACGATTAACCACAAAGAAAAATTTTATTATTTTCATTCTCCTTCTATCTTCTCGATCGTTGCTGATGCATAAGCCCATTCTTTATAATCTACTTTTCCCAAATATAAAAAATTAAATTAAAGAGTTGCGCAAAAAATTAACAATGCTAAAACAGCAAATGTAAACCAAGCTCGTACTTTACAAGTAATTGAAAAAAAAAAAACGTGACGAAAGTCAATAGAATGATTTCGCACAATCGCTGAAAGCCATACCTGAATTGATAAATGCATTTGAATGTTCTGAAAAACGAATTCCAACTGGACAGCAGTCTAAGTAGTGACAAAAGCACCAGCACTTACTTCAAATCTGTTCAACATTGAAAATTGTAATTATTTCTTCGGGCGCCAATTACATCGTATATGTATACATCAAACCCTAATTAAGCACATTTATGCAGTGGAACATTTGTTCCCTACCGTCTCTACTCTTACTCAAGTTCTACACCAACACCCGGTCCCCGTCAAACTTTGTAGTATAACAACTAGTAGCGAAAAGAACCAAGAAGAAGGAAAATTAAATTAAGCGCAAGTGTGGGAAAATGACTTCATGCGTAAAGTAACAAGAAAATTTTGTGGGCTTTGCGGCACAGCGGCTAGAAAATTCGGAGCAAGAGGGAGGAAATGTGTAGGCAGTTGGGAGAAGAGATACCATCAGCGGCATGTAAAATGGTTTGCAATGCAACGAAACATTGAAGTAAGTTTATGAATAAGTTGATGGTTAAGTTTTCGAGAAAGAATATGAACATGTGTCAAGGTTAAGTACAACCCAAAAGGTACCTACTGCGTATCATGTAAGACATGATAACGAACTTCTATATTCAATATTATGAGCACGCCTAACTAGCTAAATTTGTCAAGAAACACTTCATCAAAGTATTAAGCAACTTACTGGCAAGCTACAAATTAAATAGCTGCAAACGAGCTGAAAACTAAATGCCGTGATATCCAACGATGCCCAAGGCACGGACATGCCGAGAAACATCACATAATCGAAAAAAGCCCAAAACAAAAAAATGGCAAACGAGACAGCGTTAACAATATATGTGATACAATGGCTGAACATCTTCAAGGAGCACTCAAAAATATATTATTCCCTGGTCAAAAAGAAGTATTTGTGATTATACTGGGAATGTATAATTACTGTCGTTTGTTATATAAGTACATATACTTGTAAATATAATTTTTGCAGTTTGCTTTTATAGCGTTTTCTTTATAAATTCAGCTCGCTTCCGTGCTTTGAATTTTTAACATTTTAAAATAAATTAAACAATAATGATTAGAGGACTACCATTCTACTATTTAATTATTTGTCCATCTACAAACAAAACTGTCGAAAAAGAAAGGAAAGGGTAAGTGTTAGTTTCTAACCCGACGGGGAATAGTTTGGTAGACAGTGGTGATTTTTTAGGTCTCAGATTGGTTTGGAATGCTGTTTTTTTTTTAATGGAATTTTCATTGCCTTTAACTACACACACATGCCAGAGCATGCAATAACTGTATGTATGTTAGGTAAGAGTTGTAACAGCTGTAAAAATCATTTCCATTCTTCCTTTTGTTTTGTACCAGAAAATGTACGTATGTGCCTGTTAAAAAGATATGGCTGCAACGAAAACATAAAGATCGAAGCTATGCATATGAAGCATATTGTGAACATCAAGCAAATTGAATGAATGAAAGAGGGCAACACAGCCGGTCAATCAACCACACAAATAAATTGTTACTATAGACCAACATGATGTGAACTGTGGCCGTCTGATAGTAATCGAATTGGTTTACCATCTTTGTATGTATGTTCGTTGGATATCGACCACATTCACAGTTAGGTTCTGTCTGTTGCCGCCAGTTTTTGTTACATATTGTGAGCATTTTCTTCCTTTCTTTCCTAATGGATGCTGGTCGCAAATATATGTATAAATACGCATCATCAAAGAGATGTCCAATATTTATTCAAACTCACATACATACGCACATGAGCACCCTTTTACATATTTACTTACATATGTATGTACATCGTATACATGTATAGGACATCGAAAGGATTTTTCCTAGACCAGTGAATTTGTGTACCTTAAATTAAATTATCCCAGAAAAACACATTTTTTGTCCTTACATTGAATCAGATCTGCAGTTTTTTACGAACGGCACGAGCTGAATGTGGTCGGTTGTATTTGTTTTTATAAATTGCTCGGGCAAAATTGCCAACAGCATGCTAAAAGGGAAAAACCGAAATGAAATTGTACAATTTTGATTTTACGCAATATTTACATTGGTCATGCAAATATTGCAAGTACCAACCATTTGGCCCTCAGTCGAAATGATTGTGGTTACAGTATGTTGATCCAATACCTGGAACTTTTATAACTTTAATTATTCCATATTTTTTTACTGTAGTATAGTAAATAAATACTCGTATTTGAGCCAATTAAATTACTTGCTGCTCTCAATACTTAACGCATTTATAGTCAGCTTGATTAACTGCTTTTTGGCACGCTTGCAATTTAAAATCAACCATCTCAATTCCAAGCAAACGCCAGCCACCACGTGACCATGCACATATCCTGCAGTTTAAGACGAACATCACGTTTTTCACAACAAACACTTTTAAATTTTTAGTGGGTCACAAACGTTTCCGGAAAATGTCACGCTCCCACTATCAGTGGCATGGCAAACATTTTGGCAGGCGCCAGCTGAAATAAGTAATATGTGCGGCCTGGCCTTTGTCTACGACGTGATATAAATTTAATTTTGCCATTAATTGCACAAAATGTTGACAAAATAAATAGCACGCAATGAAACCCGATGAACATTTCGGGCATGACATAAACAAATGATTAAGAATGGCGCGCACAGAATGCTGCGTTGTGCTGTGCGCTTAATTCCAAATACGTGTCCTATGACAATGTTCTGAGTTCAATAAAACGTCTATAGATGTTTTGAATGGATGTCGCTACAAAAGAAGATACAGCTTTATATTTTCATAGCTCGCGATAGGAGTATAGCTTAGTAATTGAAATAAAATAAAAGTTTGTGACTTAAATCACTGGCAGGCAACCACTTTCATGCGGATGGTTTCATAAAATTCGCATTTAATTGGGGAAAACAAGTTTGGTAATTAAATGTAAAATCAGTAAAGTCAAAGTCCGAAGGAGCCTGTATTTTTCAAAACTAATCAAATGCTACAAACTGAATTTCTTATTTTTTAATCAATCCACTGGAATGATGAAACTCAACCATCTGTACAGTTTGTCTATCACTTTTACTTACCTCTGCTACAAGGCTCATAGTCTTGATATAGGATGTCGTGAAAATAGAACAACACTGCTAAGAAAAATCTTGGAGCAAGTAATAGGGGGATACAGCAAATGGCCGAATTCAAAGAGCTGGTATTACTATAGCTGGTCTGCTCAAAGCCTTTTCCCTTTTGACCCAATTTGCTCCCTTAGCGAATTCCAGCCATACTTGTATAGTCAACCAACTAAATGCTCGCACATGTGTGTATTTTTGTGTGTGCTAGCTCCCGTTTTATAACTTTGTTTTATTTCGCTTTACGCGGCCCTTTCAGTAACAACAGCGGCATCTCTCATAAACATTTAAGTGGCGCGGCACGTTTCGCTCTGCGCCAAAAGCGTGTAAATTGCTTGCAACAAAAATGAAAACGAAACGAAAAACGCACGCCAACTGCTTGCTAAATGGTTAAATGCTAGCCGTTCCCCCCATTGCCCAAATAAACAGCCCAATGTTAAGTGTTTGCATTTGTAAACGTGACGGCGATCATAAAACGACGGTCAAAAGGATAATGAAAACTTCAACTTAAAAATTCAACGCAGCGCAACAAAGCGGCAAAATGAAAAGCAGCTGAAGTTGTCCATAGAACGACTCCAAAACGGGCCAAAAGTGAAGCAAAAATGTATAATAACGAAGTTTCATAGCTCCTTTGCCAACGGGAAAGTATTGTAGGGGGGAGGCATTGCATTTGCTTTTGCTTTGTCAATTATATGGCTGGCTGAACCAGTCTACTTGCCCTATGTTGGATCGCTTTGACAATATCTTATTGAAGTGGCTTAAATGTTTTTTGCTTTCGTTAAACAATAAACTCAACCGATGTATATAAATTATAAATGTAAAATTGTAATTTAACAATTAAACACCTAGTTGAGGTTATATTTGTGTTTAGCATTAAATTAATTTTGTTTTGTAATTATGTTGTAAAAACAACAGTATAATTAAGGAGAAAAAAATAAAATACAAAAATTAAATTAAATTAAATTAAATTAAACAATAAATGCGACTCCCACTCACACACACAAACAAACATATAGATGAATACTTCATCCTCATCTTTTCACATAATACGGCTTATAGATTTAATCTCCGATTAAATTCGTAATCAAAATAAAATCAAACAAAATAAATTCTCCTCATATTGTAGGGAATTTTGTTTGTGTATTTTTGTTAAGAAAACTTAAATTTAACAAAATGCTGTTCCCACCAAATTGCCGACGCGACTTGAAAGAAGACTCGCAAAACGCCCATATCCTTAAGCCGCTGAACTTTGGAATCATAATCGGGAAACGAGTGCGGACCACCTGCGTAGGCATTTGTCCAGTGCTTGGCGTTCATTAGAAATATTTCGGGTGTATTATTGAACTGATAGTGGACTGTAGCTTGCTCGACATCATCCGATTGAGGAGCAGCCAGCAGCGCCTGTAGAGATAATAGAAGGGTACGCAATGTCGTGCCTGCGAACCAATTATTCATATACAGACAAATTTCTCCGTCCTCCACTGAGATATTCGGATGCCAGATGCGTGTTATAAAGCGAACCTTTGTTCGATGAAAAGGATATGTTTCGGGCACATTGATTTCCAGCACAAATTTTACGCCCTCTCTCCAGCTGTCATTTACGAGCTCAATTTTGATTGAAGACTGCACAATCTCATCAGTCATTTCTTCTTTGAATTCCTGCATGATGCGCGAAGCAGGCATATTCACCATGATTGTTGCTATATGGATTTATTTTATATTTTATGACAAAATGTGTAAAACTTATTTTTGGGGTAAAGTTGGGAACTGAGTTTATTTCCTTAACAATTCATGTTTATTGTAAGTCTTTTCACTATTCACGATCTAAAGCAACTGTAGGCATGGATTGGTGCACATTCTCAGAGCTTTTTTATTTTTAATAACAAATGATAGAAAAGCTCTGAAACCTTAAATATAAGTCTGTCTCAAACATCAGCTTTTCAACATCAAATAACCCAAAACTTATCTTATCATTAAGTTTAGTGATCGACGCATTAATGCACACCTCCTTCTGAGGGATCTATTGGATGAATCCGCTTATAAGCTAAGGACCTTCATTTCTGGTTTTCATTAAAGAACAACATTTTAATACGCAAAAAAATAAAATGCCTAATACTCAATAATAAAGTGAAGGAGACCATTTCAAAAACGTACACACACAATCTTCAACAACAGAAGCATCATTAATAATGCTTAAAATTTAATTCCTGGCAAATTGGTTTAGTCAAGCCAAACGGCAAATAGGAAAATGGGCACATTCCAGCACCCAAAAAGTGCACAAACAGCACAAAAATTGTCGCAGCTAATTACGTTGCTTAATCCAGGAGATAAAATGTTTGTGTTAGTATTATGGAAGCACATTTTTAATGTAATTCGGGCCTGGGTTATACCTCGGCCGAGGCACATTATTTACTTAAACTTAAGCTGCGCAAAACCAAGCAAACAAAACTGAAAGGCTTAGCCGAAATTTACACAGGATGTGTGAGAACACTTTTCAGTTGGCCATTAATGTTGGACCATGCACAACTTACAAATATAAATAACTACTACTATGTACTACTTGCATTGCACTTGAAGCAAACTTATTCAGCATTAGATACAAAACTTTTGCAAAACAAATGTGTTCGAATTTCAGTGGCCTGCACCTAGCTCTTGACGCTAGCCGACTTTCATTTTCGTTACGACATTTAAAAACACTTTATTTATGATAAAAGGCAGAACAGATTAAAATTTACTTCGCTTACTTTGTCTTCTACATGAGATTCCCATTAAAAATTGACTTTTATGTGCAAACATTTGTAAATAAATTGTTGCTGTCGAGGGCCAACTTATCTGCGACCTCACCTGCTACTCTTGATACAGCTCGCCCTGTGACACATATCCTGTGCTTAATGTGCGCAAACAGAATATGAAAGGCAAACACGTGATGCCATGGGTCTCTGAAAATAGCTCTCATATATTTATGCCAATAATACGGGCTGGCGAAAATTAAGGCAATTTGGGCAGTGTTTTTTTCGTTTTAATTAATCGTAAAGTCCAGTTGTGTACTAGAATACATCTATGTACATATTTTCGGCAATTTTAAGTGCCGGCTTCTCATACCACCTGGTTGCCCATTTCTGCATGTGCTTTCGCTGTAGCTGCTTGTATGGGCGTTTACTTCAATGGGAGTATTCATTTCATTTTGTGAAACCATCGTCATGTTTCAAATTTTATTGGCATATACCACAAAGTTAAATGGCGCGTGAAACTCAACGCACACATACGCACACTTTATACTCTCGATGGGCATCTGTGGCCATTCAGAACGAACATCAATGACTGGCAACATGCATAAGGGCAAGAGCGACGCATGTATGTTTGTAAGTAAAAATATAGGCTTCCAAAAGAGAATCGTTAAGTTACATTAATTGCAATTCTTACTCAGTAATGTATGCCTTGAACGAACCCAAATTGTCCTCCTCTTTCCAGCAAGCAATCAAATTTAAAATATTCATTCGAGGCACTTCCTACACCCCACGCCCCACAGCCCATCATGCCACCCACTTTTGCATAAAATCAATTGTAAATTGCTCATCGCTTCGCCCAAGTAAAAACACTCTTATTTATTTTTCTTCAAAACAGCTGCCGCATTTTTTGTGCTTGCCCCCTGACAACGGCCCTGTAATTGTATTTGCTCATTGTACCTACTTATTTCTTAGCACAACGCCAAATCAAAAGGAAAAAACATAAAAGCTTTTACTTATCTTTAGAATTTCTCTACGACGAGTATCAATGGGAAAATGAGCCACTTGGGAGTTTGACAGAAATTAATTAAAATGCAAATTAATGTGCAATACATACAATTGCGAGCATTATGGGTACTTGTGGCTCTGTGAGGCATTTTTATACTCTGTGCATGAAATGTACAAGAGTATATTAGGTTTGCGCGAGCTAAAAAATTGCGTGGCAGACCCCATAAAGTACATGTATATATATTCTTGATCAGCATGAAAAGACGAGTCGATCTAGCCCTGTCTGTCTGTCCGTCCGTTCGTATAACCGCCTATATCTCAGAAACTATTAAACCTAGGGACACAAAATTTTAGTTCCAAATGCCTTATGTGAATACACAATTGGAATTTCCCTCTCTCCCTCGCTTTCACTGATTGTCCATACCTCCCGTATTTATTGGAATTTTTCATTGAAACTTTGAAAATACCTCCAGTTAGTGATTATGTATGTTCCGGAAGTTATAGCTGCCCGCAGCTGTTGTTGTTGTTACTGCTTTGCACAGGCACACGAGTCATACACAGACACACACAAACACACACATACACGCATAAATATTCTACACATACTTGTACATATGTACAGAGTATTTCAAAGTCGGGACACCGGACTTTAGCTTCTCCACTTGTTTCTTCCTTTTTTTATTAATTTGGCTTAAAAGAGAATTGATGCATACTAAATTATTAGGAATAAATATTTAGCTTCAATGCATTGTAATAACATGAAAACCACTTAAAGCTTCATCGAACCAAAAACATAAACTGGCCGCGAGCTTAGAAGACTCTACATAACCAGCTCCTTTGCATTGCGAAATCCTTTTATTCATATAGGTCGACGCGTGAGTTCATTCATAGCATAGGTACTAGATACTATTTTTTGTTTGCCTCATCGAAATGATTTATAATTTATGAATTACAGTTCACTTACAGTACTTTATGTACTTTATACGTACAACATACATATACTTATTTGTATATACTCGTATGTACCCGATATATGTAAACTCTTAGATACAAAGAGAATGTTCAATTTCAGCTAGCAGACGTAATATAATCGCATTACCGTTAAACAAATCCACTTAAATCGAATCAATCAACCCTAATAATGTAAATACTTACGTACTCTCCATTCATGCACGAAGTTCCTATTGCTGTTCCTCGCCACAACAAAAGTACGTACATTTCTACTGAAAATAAATGGCCAATCGGTTGAAATTTATAGAATTTCTTTCCAATACTTCAAAGTAAATGGGTAAAGTGCAAGGTTCAACGCAGAATTCAGATGCAAGAGGCAAGAGTGGGAAATAAAACGAGCTAAGCATTTTACATATGATAAATCAACCGACCGATAGCATCAGACAGCAGCAAAGGCTATGGCGGCAAATGCAGAGAATCAAAGGTTAATCACCCCTGATGGCGTTTTTTCAAAGCACACGCACTCAGACATTCAACTGCTGTATACTGTTGTATAGTATTTATGTATGTGTGTTTAAACGACGAGCCGGCTAAATCAATGTGTAGACTTGGAGTGGCCCTTGGAGTAGGCCAACAGTTATAAAAGTATAAGCTACTGCATGTTCCTACATTTCCTTATGTACAGTAGATGCTGGCAAATGTCAACCTTTAGAAAATCCATATCCAACTTATACCGAGAAGAACCAGCCCGACTGTTGAATTCCCTGTAACACTGATTTGCCCACCACAGACATTAAATTAAAATGAACGTTGTTAAATTTATTGTACTAATCATTACTATGGCAGCTACATAATATAAAGTTTCTAATTATAGTGGGGCACTTTAAAAATAGATGCAAATGTTTATTAATACACTAGCGTCCTGCACCTGCTTTGCACGGGTATTTTTACAACATTTTTAAAAATTATACCCTTTATAACACACACACACTTAACACACGTACACCCTTCTTTTGGCTATGAGTTACTAAGAAGAAGTGAAATTTATTTTGGATATTATTATTTTAATGATTTTTTGTTCGTTTTTAGATTTTTTTTTTGTTATTCTTTATTAGGTCAGAGCTACTCTGTAAAAGTTTTATTTTGTGGTAGCAAAATAAATGTATTTTCACGGGCTCCGATCCGTGATAGGTCAACATATAGTAAAACATTGCTTTCGTATGTCGATCCCTACTAATTCGAAGGCTTGGCCTTGCGACTACCGGAAATTAAAGCCATATAAATGATCAAATGGGACAATCGGTATCCTTGGTATCCTCGTTATATGAGCTAGTTGACCAGTTGCTGGGCCTGCAATTCCTTAATAAGCAGCCTCGTCCCATTACACATGCTTGGAAGGCTTTAATTTCTCAAAAGCATGATTGCAATTCCGAATTTGACCGTCAATTCATGGGGCGGCAGTCCAGAAGGGTTTAGTGAATTAAAATGTCTTCAATATTAATCAATATTCAATATTAATTACCTTTTTAATTTCTATAATTATTCTAAACATATGTACAGAGTATTTCAAAGTCGGGACACCCGACTTTAACTTTTTTACTTGTTTTTTATTTGGCTGGGGGCTTTTGAATAATATTGCCTCCATATGGATACATTTTATGTATATAATAAGGTTATAAAGTATTTGGCAAGAAACATTTATAAATTTCCTTCGAGACATTAATTCAAAGACTGTCACAAGCTAACATACTTATTTAAAAAAACTAGCATATTACTGTCATATGTGGGCGTCTACTGTATGCGTGTTGGGATACATGGAAGTTGCTGCCAAACTTACCTTAAGGGGTGGTCTCGACGGCACGCCCCCAAGTCTTCAAAGCCAAAGCTTTTTGCAAAATGGCGAACGTTCGTAAGTCAACACATGTACGAGTATGTATGTGTATTTACCACTTTCAATGAGCCCCAACTTCTCGATTTGACTTCAGCTGAACTTTTGCGTGTTTCAAT